CGCCTCCTGCAGGACCTGGGAGAGTGAAGCCCTGTCCCGTCTCATCCCGCAGACAGGTAGGTGTTCCAGACTCACGAAAGCCCAATGGTCCCACCACAGCCCCCAGCCTTCTTCTCTAAAATGCTTCTGTTCTGAATCCTCCACCCCCAAAGAACCAGGACCGTGCACGTGAGTGGGTGGGGGTGCAGGGAGGTTCCACCTGGGAACCACGGAGAAACAAGCCAGTTATGCTCCCCACATGTGGGGCCCTGCTTCCTGCTGCTCCTGGATGTGGCTGCACCAGAACAGGAAGCAGAAACGGAAACGTCTCAGAGCCGCTCACTAGGGGCCTCCCCCCGAGACCCCAGCCTGGGGCCAGGACGGTTCTTGTTTTCTTTTTTCCCAGGCACTGGCCAAGGAAATGTGAGGGGCCGGATCAGCCATCTCAGGACAGGACAGAGCCCAAGTGGGGATTCTGATTGGTGGGTCAGAGACCCTCCTCCTGTCTGTCTTTCAGGCACACAGGTAACAGGGACACCAGCCCACTGCAGAAGCTCTTGTGCCCCAGTCAGAAAGAGGAAGGTGGCCTGCGCTTCTCTCCCAGCTGTGAGGGCGAAAGCAGCCACCACCCCAGCAGCGGCCCCAGAGCTGCCCACAATCAGGCTGCAGGACAAGACCCCAACCTCCCACCCTGGTGGCCCTGAGGGGCTGAGCTGGCCCTGAACCTGCCTGGGCCAGTCCAGCTGGTTCCACTCTCCAGCTGCCCAGGCCCCAGCGACCACTGTGCGTCTCCAACGCTCTTCAAAAGGTGGGCTTCGTTGTGGGGATGCTGAGGCAGCTGGCCCAGGACACGGCACCTGCAGGCCCCAGGCCGCACATGGCCTGTGACGCAGACAGTGGTCGCTGGGGCTCCCAGCGGTGTTCTGAAATTCACACGCACAGCCTTCCTCCTGCTCACATGTGGCTGCCTCTCCCAAGTGCGATCTGCTGTGAGAGGCAGTGTCAGGGGAGGGGTACTCCAGCTTTGTAGCCAGTGGGCTCACCTAGGTGTCCCTTTGATGCCAGAACAGAGACCCAGTATGCACTCTGGGTGAAACAGAAAACGGGGGGTATCGTGAGCTAACTCTAGACTCTTCCGTGGCTCCCCACTCCCAGGCCTTTTGCTCCCCAGCCTAGGCCGGCCTGCTGGGCGCAGCCCAGACATGGCCACACGAGAGGGTACAATCGCCCCTCTGAACTCCCTGCAAAGCTTCCCCTCCATCCCCTGGGGCCAGAGCTGCTGCCTCTCAGGACTTTGGGGGGGACCCAGAAATGGAGCAGGCCCGCAGGTCCTCTGCCCCGAAGGCATTTTCAGTCCTGCAGGTGAGGGAGGTGCCTCCTAGATCGACACACAGCAAGGAGGTGCTGACCCTTTCCCCCCAAACCCCTACCCTGGGCACCCCGACACGGAGGGTGGGGCGTTCAGGCAGGGGGCAAGGGCAGGAGGCCCAGGGGAGACCGAGGCCACACTCAGCGACCTTCCTGAGACTCCCCTGAGAAGATGCCTGTGAATACAACTGCCCTCGCAGCTGCCCCCCCTGCACCCCTGTGGGCCCTCCCTTCGTCTCCATGGCAGTTCCCTGCCCCCCATCACCTTAGGAAGCTGGAGAATCCTCCCTTCCCTCCTCCCACTCACCTCCAGTGAGCTCAGGGTGGCTGTGAGGCCTGCCGGTCGCATTTATTGAGTGCCTGCTGTACGCAGGGATGGGGGAGGCAGGTTGGGGTATCCCCGGCAGGGAGGCGGGGTGGGGGGGCGGGTGCCGGGCTGTCTCCCGTGCTATTCGGCCGTCGTGGGGCCCCGGCAGAAGTTCTGGTTATAGAAGTGGCGGTTGTCCCTGGTCAGGGCCATGCCCAGCTGGGCCCAGAAGCTGCCCTGGCCGCTGGGCTGGTGGGGCCAGAGGAGGACGCTGCGGCGGCAGAGGCGCTGGCGCAGCCGCACGTAGCGGGAGCGGTGGGCGCTGGGGCTCAGGATGACCAGCACCACCACGTCCTTGCGGTCCTCCAGCAGGCGCTGCTGGGCCAGCAGGAAGCTGGCTCGCAGGAGGCCGCTGACCCGGTCCGTGCGGGCCAGCACGAACAGCGTCTTGCGGCTGCGGTAGATGGAGGCCCACAGGTTCTCGATGAGCGTCTGCCCGGGCAGCCAGTCCCGCTCCTCCAGACACAGGCGGAGCGCCCGGCGCCCGCGGCGCTCCTCCAGCTGGACCCGCAGCTCGTTGTACACCCAGTCGGCCACGGCGCCCTGCGCCTTGTCGAAGACCACGAAGGCGTCGTAGGGCGGGGCACCGGCGCCGTGCCGGCGCCCCCACCGGGGCAGCAGGGCCAGGCCCAGGTAGAAGCAGTACCAGAGGTCCCAGCCGCAGAGGTGGTGCAGCAGCGGCACGGCCAGGCCCAGCGCCATGGCCAGCAGCGACAGGCTGAAGCAGTCCCAGGAGAGGGTCTCGTCCAGGCAGAGGCGCAGGTCCTGCGCGAAGATGCTGCGGCCCAGGAGCTGGCCCGGACTGCCGCACTTGACCTGGCTGGACAGCCCGGGCACGGCCGCCTGCACCTCCAGCAGGAAGTCCACGAAGGCCGCGCCACAGGCGCAGTGCAGAGGGTTGGCGCTCACGTCCAGGACCCTCAAGGCGGCCGCTCGGGAGCCAAACCAAGAGGGCTCCACCGTCTTGAGGGCGTTGGTACTGAGATTGAGCTGTCGCAGCCTCGTGGCCTGGGTGAAGAAGCCGGGGTCCACGAAGCCGATGCTGTTGCAGCTGACGTCCAGCTTCTGCAGCCTGGTGCCGGCGGGGAGGCTGCCGTTTGTCAGGGCCTTCAGCTGGTTGCCCGCCAGGTCCAGGGCTTCCAGCTTGGGCAGGAGGGTCAGGCTGCTCCAGTTGAAGAAGGCCAGGTAATTGTCACGGAGACGCAGCTGCTGCAGGCTCTTGGGGAGGCGGTCCAGGGTGTGTGGCAGGAGGGCGTGCAGATGGTTCTGGGACAGGTCCAGGAAGACCAGGCGTCTCAGGCCTTGGAAGAAGCAGAGGTAGAGGTCTCCCTCGTTCCACAGGCTGCTCAGCGAGTTGCCGCTGAAGTCCAGGGCCTTCAGCGAGGAGCTGCAGAGCCTGTGAGACACGCGGCTGTGGATGGCGTTGTGCGCAAGGCTGAGGTAGCGCAGGGCGGGCAGCTGGGCCACGAAGCTGAGGTTGTGGCCCACACCCCGCATGCTGAAGGGCTGGCTGTTGTAGCTGAGGTCCAGGGCCTGCAGCTGCGGCAGCTCCGTGAACGAGCGTCCATGGTACAGGTCCAGCTTGTTATGGGACAGGTCCAGCACCTGCAGGCCGGTCAGCGGCGCGAACTCTGAGCCGTTGACCGCCTGCGAGATGCTGTTGTGGCTCAGGCGCAGGCATTGGAGGCGCGAGAGCCCGGCGAACATCTCTGGTCGGACCGTCACCAGGTTGTTCCGGGACAGGTCCAAGGTGAAGGTCAAGTTCTTGCAGCTCGGCATGAAGTCCATGGAGCCTGGGGGGTCCAGGGGAGCCGCAGCGCGGCCCATGGCTGGCAGCCGGACGGCCTCCTCGGCATCCGCGCCCTCCGAGGGGGTGGCCGGGCCCGCGGCCCCGCTGATGCGGTTGTTGGACAGGTCCACATGCCCCAGGCTGGGGAACAGCCCGAAGATGTGGAGCTGGGCCTGGCTGATGAAGTTCATCTGCAGACTCAGGTTGTGGAGCAAGGGCAGGCGGGTCACGGACCGCAGCGTGTCCTCGCCTAGCGAGCGGAAGAAGAGGCCGTTCATGTTGAGCTCCTGCAGGGCCTGCAGGCTCTCGAAGGAGGCTGCCAGACGCAGGTGGGCATAAGACACCCTCTTGTGGTAATTGAAGGACAAGTTGAGTTTGCGCAGCCGCGTCAGGCCCCTGAAGGCTTTGGTGTACATGATGCAGTCGTACAGAAAGTTCTCACTCACGTCCAGCACCGAGAGGTTGCCCAGGCCGCGGAACCAGTTGATGTCCAGCCAGCGGAGAGAGTTGTCCTTCAGCACGAGGCCTTCGAGGTGCCGCAGGTGGCTGAAGGTGTCGGGGTGCAGGCTGGGGGAGCCCTTGGGGCACTCGACGCAGGGGTTGCGGGCGTGGTCACAGCGGCGACAGTTCCCGCCCACGTCGAGCACGCGCAGGGCGGTGAGGTTGGCCAGGTCCTCGGGCCCCAGGGAGACGATGCGGTTGTAGGACAGCAGCAGGCCCTCCAGGGTGGGCGGTAGGCTGCGGGGCACCGCCGTCAGGTTGTTGTACTTGAGCGACAGGTAGGTGAGGTTGCCCAGGCCCAGGAGGGCGCCCGGGGCCACCCGCAGCGCCCGGCCACACGGGTTCTTGTAGTAGCAGTTGCCGTCCATGTACAGGTGGCTCAGGGCGTGCAGGCCTTTGAAGTCGGCGGGCTCGAGCACCAGGATGTTGGTGCGGCTGAGGGACAGGTGCGTGAGGGACCTGGGCAGGGCGGGCACGGCCGTGATGTTGTTGTAGCTGAGGTTCAGCACCTCCAGGGTGGGCACAGCCAGGAAGGTGTGGGGCTCGATGGTCATGTGGCAGTCCCAGTGCATGCGGCTGAGGGTGCTGGGCGGGCAGTTCCACTTGAGGTCGAGATGCCGCAGGTGGGACAGGTGCGCAAAGTCGGAGTCGTGCAGGTGGTGGATGCGATTGCAGCGCAAGGAAAGGCTGGTGACGTTGCCCCGGGGCGCGGTCGCCGGGAAGTGGGGCACGGCCTTCAGGAAGAGCCACTCGCAGTTGACCCGGCCGGGGGCCTGCAGCTCGCAGGGCAGGAAGGCGGGCAGGGTGCCCTGGGCCAGGGCCGCGGCCAGCATGGCGGCCTGCACCAGGAGAGACGGGGGCAGCAGGGCGCCGCGGCAGGGGCCCTGCAGGGGTGGGCGCAGTGAGAGGCAGCCCAGGCCCAGCTCCGGAGAGTCCCCCTCTGCGCCCTCCCCGGGGGGCTCCTGCTTCTCCACCCAGCCCCCATCCCGCCGCCAAGGCTGGCGGGGAACCCAGACTTGGGTCTCAGACCCACCTTGGACTCAGAACTGCTTCTGAGACCTGGAATCAGACTCACGCTCTGGAGCTTTGACTCATCACCAAAGCCCAGCTGGATGAGAGAGCTGGGCAGGTGGCCGATGGGCCCGCCAGGCTCGCCCCCACCTTCCCCTGCCCTTCCTCAGGGGTCTGTTCTTTCTTCTCCTGAGCAAGGAGGCACCTGGCTCCCTTCCCTCCAGCCATCCCCTGCCCTCCACCAGCCTCTCCCCAACCTCTCCCTCCCCCTTTGGCCAATACCCAGGCAGGAATGAGGGTCTCCTGCTGGAGTCCCGGCCCGGCCCCCCCAAGGCCTGGCTAGCTCTTTCTCCCTCTGCTCGCCTCACTCAGCCCAAGAGCACTGGACCTGCTGTGGGTCAGAACGGGTTGGAGGGAGGGCTGGGCAGCAGAAGGTCAAACAGAGCCCAGGCCTGGGCACCCAGCCTTGCCTGAAGCTCAGCATCGCCACCAAGTGTGGCCCTCGGCTCCAGCCTGTCACCTGCCCAACAGGTCCAGCCTGGTGCTCGGAGTAGGGCTTCTGCTCTAATGTCTTCAGAGTTCAGGGACTGTCCCCAGGGCCACGTGGGTGAAGGCCTCTCTCACTACTGTCTGAGGCCTCCATGCTCACCTCTCTCCCTGCCACTCCCCAGGCTGTCCCCTGCCCTCGGGGGCTGCGGGCATCCATCCTACCATGACAGGGGGCGAGGTCTTCTCCTGAGGGTCTTGGTCCGAGCTCCAGCTCGCGATCCCTTCCCGCTGTGTGAGCTTAGAGCAGAGGAAGTGAGAATTTCACAACGACCTAGTAGCCCCCTTCTTCCTCTCTACCCTGCCCCTGGCTGGGGTGGGGGGTGCAGTGAGTCAGAGGCCATTTGCATAGTCATTTGGCAGACAGCCCCCCCGCTCCTTCCTCTTTCGCTCCGCACCCCAACCATAGTGTGTCCTCACAGTGCCCATAGCCCCCCTGGGCCCTACACCTATCCCCTGGGAAGAGTCCCGGAGGCCGAAGGCCCAGAGCCCGGTTTAGTCTCAGTGAAAGGTTGGAATTAGGGCCGGTGCCAGACTTTGAGGGCGTGTGGCACCCACGCCAGGGCCCTCCGCTCTCATCCCCACGCTCCGGCTCCCTCGGCCCCTGCCCCGCAGGCAGCTCAGGCCAGTGGCTCCCGTACCTGCCCTTTCCTGGCCCCGGGGCCCTGTCCCCAGAGCTCGGGGGGGGCCTAGTGTAGCCGAGGGTGCCTCCCCGAGCTGCGCCTGGCTCCGTCGCAGTCTGCCACTTCCCCCAGGAGCAGGGCCTCCCCCGCCGCGTTCTCAGCGAGCCTGGAGCCCAGTCAGAGCGCAGAGCCCGTGGCTGGGCCAGCTGGGGCCTCCCGGCTCATCCTCCCCAGCTGGCTTTTCTGCACCCCGCAGGCCCGAAGCCTCACGACAACCCGGCCCCTCAGCGAGTCCTGGCGGCTGCACCTTCAGACTCTGCCCAGAACTGCCCATGGCCCACCCCCTTCCTGTCCACCAGCCTGGGCCCGGCCGCCACCATCTCTTGCCTAGACCAATGCAGTCGCCACCTCATGGGTCACCCTGCTCTGCCGTCACACCCCGCAGCCTAGTCACGTCTGGCTCCCAAGTCACGTTAGGTCCTTCCTCTGCTCAGACCCCTCATGGCCCCATCTAGCGTCAGAGCCACAGTCTACAAAATGGGCAGCTAGGTCCCGTGGGACCTGCCCTGACCAGCCTCCCTGACCAGCCTCCAGCTCCTTGCTGTGGCTCACACGCCCATGTGCTCCCCGGCGCCAGGCCAGCTAGGTCCCTCGGCCTGGACACTCTTCTCTCAGATGCTCACGTCACCTCCGGCGAGGCCTTCTCTGACCTTTTGAACTCCGACCCCCGTCTGGCATACCCAAGCAGCTTTGCTTGCTGTCTGTCTTCATCGTAAGAGTTTCTACCTGCTAACATACCGTAGCATTGATTTTTCATGGTTTATGGCACATTGTCTTATTGCCTTGCTGGACTGTTAGCTTCTTTCCTGTCTGTGTCCCTAGGGCCCAGCACAGTGCCTGGCATGTAGTGGGTGCTCAATATCTGCTGAATCCATGGCTCTCCAGCGCTCAGCTCTGGGCAGGCACAGAGAGAATGTCTGAGTGATGGTTGACTGACTAACTGACTGACTGACTGACTGAATGAATAGGGCTTCTGCTGGGAGGAGGCAGGGCTGGACATCTAGGTGGGTGTCACAACAGGGAGGCTCCAAGCTACCAGATATCCAGCTGGCTCACAAGCCCAGGGGCTCGAGCAGCATGGGGGTGATGGTGTGGTCCACCTGTCCCCCTCGGAACCAGTGTTTGGGGTGGGCAAGGACGAGTCTCCTCCTCTGGGTCCAGCTCTCCTCCCTACAATTCTAGGGGCTCTAGTCGGGCCTTAAAAAGGCCCTAGGGATGGGACACTGCCCTGAGCCCAAGCCTACAGATGCCACATGTCCCTACCCCTACACACCCCCCACCTGAGAGGGCCTGCCACCCACTTCTCAGAGGCATGGACTGAAGCTCGGGCTCCTTCTGAGTCCCAAGCCCCAGGGAGATTCTACCAAGAGTCCCTGGGACCTGAGACCCGGGCCGCTCCCTGTCCCCAGCAGCCACCCTGCCTGCCTAGGGGGCAGGCATGCAGGTACTTCAAGAAGGCCCCTGAGCTGACAGAAGGCTGCACATGCACACACGGATGGGACACAATGAGATTTCAGACCCCCCCAGACACACCCACCACGCCTCAGCCCGAGGCTGGGAAACCTAGTGGGCAGAGCCTCCCCATGTGGCAGACCAAAGAACGCCCCCAAGGAGAGCCAGTCCTAAGCCCTAGACCTGTGACTGTGTTCCCTTACATGATAAAAGGGACTTCGCAGGTGGAATTAAGGATTGTAAGAGTGTCCAGCATTACCGGGGAGCGGGGAGACGGCTAAATCACAAGTGTCCTTGTGAGACAGGCAGAGGGAGACATGACCACAGAAGCAGAGGAAGTAGAATCAGAACTTGAGGATGGAGGAAGGGGCCAAGGCCAGGAGTCAGGGGCCCCTACCTCCTGGAAAAGAGGGGGAAACGGATTTCCCCTTGGGCCTCCAGAAGGAACCAGCCCTGCCAATGCCTTGGTTCTAGCCCTGAAAAACTCATTTCTTAAAACTGTAAGAGAACAACTGTGCTGCTTAAAGCCACTAGGTTTAGGGAACTTGGTTACAGTAGCCATGGGAAGCCAGCAACTCCAGATTCTCATGTCAGAGCAGAGGGTGGCGCCTCTCCGGCCAAACTCCCCTCAACGAGGGGACCTGTCTGAGGCTGTGTCCTCGCACACAGGGGCACAGACTCACCCAGACCCCTGTAGCCAGGAGTGCTGGGGCTCCATCTAGCAGGTGGACGGGCTTTTCTGAGTGGGGGAGGGGAAGTTCCATGCACAGGGCCTCCCCGCTCCAATGCCCAGCAACACAGATGGTCCCTCGGGGCCAGACTCAGGTGTAGATTTAAAAATATTTTATTCTTTAAAAAATACAGCATACAACCATCTCATCCTGCAGTGGGCCCTTGCCCCAGCCCCGACTGACCCCACCCCTTGTGGCCAAAGGCTTCTGAGCTGCGCTGGGACCCTAGTCTCAGCTCCCTTGGGGGCCGGGTTCATGCCAGGCCCACCATCCAGGCCCTTGAGACAGCCAGGCAGGGTCCCCAGACACCCTGGCCACTCAGGTGAGACAGGGACAGCAGTGGGGGTGGGTCGCAAATGCCAGCCCAGTGGCCCTTGGAAGCTGCAAGGGTGAGCGGCGAGCAGCCCTCCTGCCCACAGGAGGCAGCCCTGCCCCGGAGCCCAGGCTGGGGAGGAGGGAGGTGATGGGAGCGAGCGGTGAGGCGGGCGGCTGCTGAGTCCGCACGCCCGCGTGGCACAGGTGCAGCCTCCTAGCTGTCATCCCCGTTCTCACCCGGGCCGCGGATGAGGCGCTTGTGGCCCCGCTTGCCCCCGGGGCCCTTGGGCTTGGCGAAGGCCTGCTTGAAGGCGTGCTGCTTGGGGTGCACCTCATCGTACAGGAACTCGGCCGTCAGCTCTGCCCCATCACCAATCTCAATCTGCGTGGGCGAGGCAGTGGTCACCCCGCCGGTGGGGGCCGACACACGCCAGCCACCCTCGGTCGTGCACGCCACAGCCTGGGGTGTCCTCCCAGGTCCCCGCCCAGAATGCCCCCTCCAGGATCACAGGGCCTGGGGCCTGGGGTCCTGCACGCCTGGGTCACCCCTATTTGCTTTCCAGACACGGGTGCCGGCGGGGCAGCCTTGGGCATGCAGCCACCCCTTGGGCCTCAGTCTGCCCATCCATCCAACAGGCATCAGTGGCCCCCCGTCTCGGGACGTGAACGCTCGGGGGCAGGAGGGGCGAGGCCCCAGGGAACGATGCCCACCTTCTTGGAGATCTCCAGCCGGAAGTCCTGCTCCGCGGAGTCCAGGAGACGGCTCTTGCAGCTGGAGTACAGCATGCGTTCCTTGATGCTGCACTTGTACCCCGGCATCGAGTAGATGAACACTGGGGGGGTGGGGGGTGAGCGATGCAGGCCTGGGGCACCCTCTGCTCCCCGCCCGCAGCAGGCCCGCCACCGAAGGCCAGCCCTGCTCTTGCCCAGCCATGGGCGTGGGGGCCCTGCAATGGCCACTCACCCACAGACTCGAGGGGGTCCCCCTCATGGGTGTGCTTGTAGAGGAAGAAGTGGTAGCGGGCGGCTTCTCGGGGTACCCGTGAGGGCAGCTGGGCCACATCCGTGGGCTCGGTGTGTACCAGCTCGATAGTCTCCCGCTCCAGGTCCAGCTTCTGCCAAGTGGCAGGGGACGTGAGGGCGCTGGACGAGGGCGGGCCCAGGCCCACCCACCAAACGAGAATTCCCCAAGGTGGGTGGGCTGGCAGGCAGGGGCCCGTCGGAGCCTGCTTGTGGTCTCTCTGCCAGACTGCCCTCCCCAGCGGCCATCCCGCCATGGAAGTCCCTCTGCAGAGGCCACTCCTGGGCCCCGCCCTAACTCTGCCCCTTCGAAAGCTCTGCCAGGGGAGGAAGTCCCTCCAAGAGCAGTGAGCAGGACAGTGGGAAGGGGCTGGACCTCAGGGAGGCACCACCATCAGGCCAGCCCATCCTCAGAGGATGTGTCTTGAAAAGGAGGAGCCCTTCTGCTCAAAAGGGGACAGGGTGGACAGGGGCAGAGGGCCCTGCCCAGGCCAAGGGTGGTCAGGGGGCTGCACAGGGAGTCTGGGACAGGAAGGGGCTCAGGGCTGAGGGATCAGTGTGAACCCGGGGATGAGGACGTGTATGCGACGTGGAGGGCGGAGTGAGGGACAGTGTCTCACAGGCGCCCCTGGACAGAGGACAGCAACCGTGATGCACGGCGGCTACAGCTCGAACGGGAGCAGGCAGGGATGGGGCAGGGCGGGTGGACAGTGTGTTCCCACCGGTACCCGGGGACCGCAGTGTTCAGGCACGTGCAGGAGGGGGGCGGGGTGGGGGCGCAGTGCCCACCAGCTGGATGTAGTTGATCGTCTTCTGCCTGAGCTGCTGAAGTGCCCGCTGGGCCTCAGGCTGCAGGGGGAAAGCGAGGCCCTGCAGGGTCTGGTGCTTGCTCTCCACGCTGATCTCTGTCTTCACCTGGGGGCAGGTGAACAGTGAGCAAGGCCCTCACCTGTCCCTGCCAGAGTGGAGCCCGCCCAGGGAGCAGAGGCTCAGCCAGCGGGGCCTGACGTGACCGCCAGCGCCCAGGGCTGGGACTCGCGCCCACCCTGTTTGGAGCACCCACCTCGTTGATACGGATCTGCTGAAGCTCTCTCTCGGCCGAGGTCAGGGGGGCGGGCGCTGCACAGGATGACAGGTGCTTCTGGTACCCAGCCAAGGAGAGGTCATCCTAGTCGGTGGAGGCAGAGGCATAAGTGGGCGCCTCGGAGTGGGCTGCCAGAGCCCGCTGAGCGCCCCAGCTTACAGCCCCCGGGCTCTCCCAGCCCTCCCCACTTGTCTCCAAGCCTGGTGCCCACTCGCTCTGTGACCCTGAATCACATCCCTCCTCTGTGGGCCCCGGATCCCAGCCCAGTGGACACTACCTTCACGGTCCCGAACAGCTCGTCCTTGACGTGGCCGCCCCCAAACTCCTTCTTCACCGTGGCCCGTGTGGCCGCGTACAGCATCTTCAGCCGCACCTGAAGGGGGGAGGCCGAGCCATGAGACCCCTCCAGGCAGGGCTGTGTTTCCCGAAGCAGGCAGGAGCCCCTGGGTGGGAGCCTGGTAACCTCACTGTGCCCGCGGAGGGCACAGCATGGAGGCCGGGAGGCAGTGGTGTGGCTCGGACAGCAGGGGGAGCCCTCGCCCAGCCCAATCTCTGCCTCCCAGAGCCAGGCTGCTGTGGCCCGGGCCACACCAGGGCCTGGTCCCCACCCAGACTCTCTGGAGCAGGACCTGATGTCCCTCCCTTCAGACTTCTCAGGGCAGGGCCTTGTCATCTCGCTCGGACCCAGCTTCCCCTTTCCCCGGATCTTGGGTGCAGGGCGCAAGGACTCACGGGGGAATTGTCAGGCGACCAGGCAAGGAAGAGCCACTCGAAGCCCTGGGCGTTCTTGGAGTCCAGGCGGTACAGCAGGTAGCAGGGCTGCTGGCCATCCAGCAGTGGCAGCACGGCCCTGTCATAGTCCTGGTCCCAGCTGCCCACTGGCTCCCGCGAGGCACCCAGCACGAGCTGCTCTGAGGGCAGAGGATGGGTGAGCCACAGAGGACCACGTCCCACACCCGCTCTGACTGCGGACCTCCAGCCCCCGGATGCGGCGCAGACCTGCTGGTCGCCCCGCCGCAGTCCCCTGGAGCCGCGTCCCTGAAGGACAAGGCTGGGTAAATCGGCGAGTGAACGAGTAAGTGAAGGCACAAAGCTGCTCCCTGTGCACCTGGACAGAGACGGATGTGAGAACGTGCGCTGTGCCGGATGACAGACACGACCACACGATGACACGCAGATGCGCGCCCACAGCCACCAGCAATGCGACGCCCTCACCGACACCCACACACCGGGGAGCTTGCTCAGACCCCGGCCCGCCGGCCAGCTGCTCGGCGGCGCCACCTCCTGCTCCCTCCTCCCACCCCTGGGGCTCCAGCACAGCCTTCTCAGAAAAAATGTGCCTCAGGCCACAGGGACCTGCAGGAGCTAAAGCATGTGGGAAAGAGGGGGTGGGGCCCCTCCAAACACAGCACAAACAGGGATCCTGCTGTCGCCCACCAGCTGCAATCCCCCTGCCCCAAAAGTTACACATCAAAAGTAGCCAACTTCCCAGGGCCTGGCCCGCCTCCTCCTTGCCACACAGAGGCTACACTCAACCTGTCAGTCCAGAGGGTCTTAGTTGGGCGCTGAGCAGCAGCCCAGTCAAGCACAGGCCCAGGCTGGAGGAAGACTGGGGCAAGCGGACCATCGTGCCCTGGCCAGGGGGCCTGGCACCTGACTACCAGGCCCTCCTGATGGGGGCGAGTGGCCCCAACGTGCCATGCCGAGACTGTCTGCAGGCCTTGGCCTCCTCGCCCACGCTCCCGGGACCCAGATGCCATCAGTGTTGCAAACCAGCAGCCACAGGCGGAGTCATCCCCATAGTCGCTGTCAACATTGTTTAATTTGTCGCCAACGCTTTCACACTGGGAAGTGTTACATAACAAGGACTCCAGGCTTCTCTAGAAAAATCAGGAGCTTGGCCACACTCGGGTGGAGATGGGCTGTGGCTGTCTGTCCGGGGACTGGGACCCCCAGCAACCACATGCAGCACCGAGGCAGGTAAGAGCCCCCGAGAGTCTTCCTGCTCAGCGAATGCGGGGCACTTGCCTGGGGGTGACAGAGGGCTGAGGATGAGGCTCGTAAGTCTGTCTCTTTCAGGGGTCTGCCACCCCAGAAAGTCTTCGCTCAGGACCTACCATAATGACCCCATCCAGCCTGTGAGGCCTTCTGAATTGACAGACCCCGGCACAGCTCTGGTCCTAAAGCCTGGGGAGGACTCTGGGTCTGGGCAGACCCTACTCTGAGCCAATTCAATGTACGAAAAGTCATCCGGGCACCAAGCTCATTTGAGGAGCCCCTTGAAGGGCCCACAACTGCATGGCTAAAAAGAAGGTCTGGGAGGACCTCTGGGGATCCCAGCCCACTCCTAGCCCCAGAGTCTGCACCTCTCACCTCGAGGGATAGCCCCTTAGCACAGAGCAAAGGGGGGATCCCTCTCTCTGGCCCCTCCAAGCCTCAGTCTAATCCTCTGCCTCGTCAAACCCTCCCCACTTCGGGCCCTGGCTGGAGCTCTCTCACCCCGGCCCCTCCCCCTGCATGAGCCCCAGGTCCCCACAGCCCAGGACAAGGCCCAGCCAAGCCTGGAATTCACCCATCTTGCTCTCAAAGAGTGCTGGATACGAGTCCCTTCTCCCCACTGTAGGGGGTAGTTCCCATGGGCAGGGCCCCCGCTTCTCCTTAGGACACCCCTGGCCAGCAGCCAGGCCAGGCTACGCCCGCCAACCACAGATGGAGGCGAGTGGCACAGCCCCAGGGGGCGGTGCCGGGCCCCACTTATCTCCTGCCCCCCTGCCCAGCCCATCCCATAGCCACATAGCCTGAGGGTGGGGGGGTTGGGCAGAGCCCTAGGGCCAGCTCTCCTTGCCAGACGCCCTGTTTCTGCTCAGGGGTAACGATCAGGTCACCTCCAGGTCTCCCACAAGGCAACTCCCATTTCCAGATGGGGAAACTGAGGTCCCAACGGGGGATAGAGGTCAAGGTCCCCCTGATCTCCCAGAGGAGCAGCTGGGTCCAGCACCCAGCCGGCACCCTAGCTGACAGGGGCCACTCACCATCTTCGATGACGACTTTGATGAGCCGGACAGAGCCGGCCCGTGCCTTGGCAAAGAATTCCTTCAGCTCATCGGTGGCTGAAAGAACAAGAAACATGGTGGGCGATGGACAGGCGGAGCAAGCTAGCGGCCAGGGACACGTTCAAAGCCTGCTGTCCGCGGGGTCTGGTGGCTGAGCCGGGAACCGGGTTAAATACAGCCCCCCATGTGACCAGGAACCTGAGACGGCTGCAGAATACAAGCTCCCAAATTTAGCCAGCAGAGGTGGCAGGCGGGTGGCCTGCTGGCTGGGGTGGCTCTGGTGACAAGGCAGCAGGGATGGGACAGGCTCTGAGACAGGCCGGGCCAGCCAGAGCGAATGGCCCCAGGAAGTCCCAGCACTGAGCCGGTCTGGGACACACTCAGCACTGTCATAACCACAGACAAGCACGGGAACAAATGCCCCCGAGATGCACGGACTGTGCCTATCTAACACACACGTGTGCACACGTGCACATATGCGCGAGGTGCCCATGCAAACAGGCACACACACAGCCCAACGTGTGTGGACCTAACACATCAACACGTGCAGGTGGCAGAGAGGGAAGTAAGGGTGCAAACACCCTCGTCCACAACCACACGCTCCGCTGGTGCAACGCGCGCACACCCAGACACAGCGCCCGGGGTGCCGACACGCGCACACGCACACGCGCACACACCCAGACACAGCGCCCAGGGTGCTGACACGCGCACACACCCAGACACAGCGCCCAGGGTGCTGACACGCGCACACACCCAGACACAGCGCCCAGGGTGCTGACACGCGCACACACCCAGACACAGCGCCCGGGGTGCTGACACACGCGCACACACACACGTGTGTGCACATACACTCGCACGCGCACACACCCAGACACAGCGCCCAGGGTGCTGACACGCGCACACACCCAGACACAGCGCCCGGGGTGCTGACAGGCGCGCACACACGCACATGCACACACACAGAGCTTGGTGAAAACGTTTGCAGGCAAAGGGTGTACAAAGTACATACAGACACGCAACAGGCACGCACTGACACACGTGTATGCACACCTAGCCCCAGCCCACCAGCCAGGATGCCTAACCCGGAGAGGCCCTGAGGGGCCAGCCCAGCCCTGGCACAGCCCTGCCAGGGGGCAACAAGCTCCCGACTCCCAGGCAGTTGGGGAGGCTTCCTGGAGGAGGAATGACTCTCAAGAACTCCCTCAAACAGATCCTGTCTTGGTCCTTGGGCCACAGAGCTGGAAGGTGACAGCCCATGACCAAGACCCAAGTGCAGAGGTGAGGACCATGGTAGGCACTGGGGACCTATGGGAAGTCACAAACCCACTGTGGTTCAGACGGAGAAACCAAGATCCAAATGGGGAAGGACCCGCCTCGGGTGTCTGGGCACACAGGGCCGGCCAGCATGACCTTGAGGCTCCCGGGGGTCAGGAGAATTCTGCAGGAACACAGCCAGAGCGCTGAGGTCAGAAAATATTTATAGGGCTCAGACTGGGCAGCTTGGGCATGGGGGGCCGTTAGGGGGGCTGTTAGGGAAACAAACTCTGGTCGTCCCTCAGGCAGGGCGACCCTGAGCCTGAGCCCTCCGGCTATGAACTGCCCTCCAAGGCTGCTGGGCGAGCAGGTCCTTGGGGCTCGGAGCAGCATGACACGGAAACAGGGCCCCACTGGGCAGGGCAGAACCACCCGCCTGCAGAGCCCGAGCAGGTCCTTGATGAAGACTCTGGGGCTCCCCCTTTCCCATAGCTGAGTGTGACCCCTGACCTCCCTGAACCTCGGACTCCTCTCTAAGGAAAAGCTCACACTTCTGGTCTGCAGAGGGCGTGGTCGGGAGTGACCGGGAGAAAGTGCTCCAGTAATGACAGTAACTTTTATCAATGCAAACATAACAGGCAGGCTGTGCTGAGCTGTCCCTTCCACCCGCTCAGACCTTCCGGGAGGGAGGGCCAGGAAGCTCCCCCAGCAGAGAGGCTGACACACCCTTTCTAGTATTACCAGGGCAGTGACACCTCAGAAGGGGAAGAGACAACCCCCCATGCCTCCTCAGTCACCATTAATAATCCAGAGGTCAGGCCCGGGACACCTGAGCCTCTATCATCAAAGATTCATGCCCCCTACCCCACGCCCACTGCCTTGCTCAGCCCCCACCTCTTGAGCTTCAGGTTACAGGTCTGTCCCCTGCCTGCTCTGAGGTCACCAGATTCACACCTACAGCCAGGACAGGGCTGGCACCTGGGTGTTCAGGGCAGTCTCTCTTCTCAGATCCCCAGGCCAGAGACAGGAGTGGGCTGCTCATAGGCAGGAGGGCTGGGGGCGGCCCGGTCCCCAGCGACCTCCTAGGCAGGCCTGTCTCGTCGTATGAGAGATGGGGGGTGCGGCAGGGCCCTGGGCACAGGACCTGTCTGTCTCCTGGAGCACAGGGGAGGAGCCCTAACTTCCGCTCCCCTCCCAGTGGGAGGTGGCAGCTATGATCAGACAAAAGGGAAGGAAGGGGCAGGTCCTGCCATGACTGTTCCCTCCATTGGGGCTGACTCACCAAGCAGCCCCTCTGAGCCCCTCCTGGAGAGGCTGGCCCTGAGCCAGCCCAGTGTCTTCTCTGTTCCTGTGGGATGGGGCCAGGGAAGCCCTCTCAGGGCTGTCCAGCCACCAAGTGGCCACAACCACAAGCCAAGATCCAAGCGGTCAGGGCGGTCGATGGTGGCAGCCCCAGGTGGGGATGATGGTGTGGGGTTAGTGTGGCTGATGGCCAAACCACCAGGCTCTCTGGGCAAGCAGCCTGGGCCTTCTGCACAGGCCAGGCAGCCCTCCCGGGCCAGTGGGGAGTGACGCTGAGGCTGGGTAGGGTCAGGACATCTGGCTTCTGGCCACTGCTGCTCTCCCAGCCTCTCTAAGGAGGAAACCGGGGCCACTGGGGGAGGGGGTGATGCTCTGGTTTGCAGAAGCTTGGGGTGAGGGCGGCTGGCCTACACTCTCTAGGGCCAGGACCCTCTAGGGCCACAAACTCCATATTTGGACCCTTTTCTCGGTCCCTAGACTGGAGCTGGGACCATCCGACCCTGGCTGGGACAGACCCATTAAATCAGAATGAAAAATGGGAGGGAGATCTGAGGTCAAGGTCAGATTGGCTACTCTCCCTTTTCCACTTCCAGGGCCCTATCCAGCCTGGCTTGCATGAGTGTGTGAGGGTCCTGGGAGGAGCCAAAGGCCAGGAACCCCTCCTCAAACAGACACAAACTCATTCAAGCCAAACACGGGCACCTCTGGTCCATGCATCCATGGTAACCAACGCACCCTGAGATGCACCCAAATTATGCACACACACGGACACCCACAGACGTGTGCACAGTCACGAAACACAGTGTCTACAGATGGGTCCGTGTTCCTGTGCCCATTCAATCAGCTAACAGTGCATGTGCACCAGATGAACACACACAGGACTGCACACGCAAGTGCACATGCGTGCACACTTCCCCAGAAGTGTGCATCCGGGTACACCCACCCCCAGAAAGGAACAAAATCCATAGATGGTCACACAGGCACATCCACCCCCAGATGGGCATACAGACACTTCCGCCCGAAACGTGTACGCATATAGACACCCACTCCCAACTCTGCACAGTAAGCCCGCCCCCCGCCCCCAGATGTGCCCACCCCAGGCGACCTGCAGCTGCAAAAGAGAACAGGAAGCTTCCCGGGGCTGGAGCCGGGGAGGAGGCAGGGGCCGGGAGCCGGGGAGGGGGCGCAGCCGCGGCC